AAACTAATCAGGAGAAAAAAAAACCAGAAAGTGGTTGGCTGCAGCTGTACAGGGCTAAGAATTTCATAGGTCAAGAATGACAAAAAGAATTTCAAATATGAAAATAAACAAAAATCCACCTTGGTTCATTGTCTTCTAAATAAACAAACAAACAAAAAGCTACAATAAAAATTTACCCTGCGTCTAGGTATGCTGACATATGTCTGTAATTCCAGGACTTGATGTGTCAGGAGGATCAGGAATTTGAGATCATCCTCTGCTACATAGCTCAAAGTTATCTGAGACCTCTCAAATTAACAAACAAATAAATAAAAATAAAATAAACAAAAACATTAGGCCATCAGATGGCTTGGGCAGGTTAAGGCACTTGCTGCCAAGCCTAAGAGTCTGAGTTTGATCCTGGGCCATACAAAATGAAAGAACGAACTCCGAAAAGTTGTCCTCAAACCTTCACAAGCACACCACAGAAAGTGAATTCCTTAATAAATTAAGTAAATGTGATAAAACAAACAAAAATTACCAAAACAAAATAAACAAACCCAAAATCAAATCAAAACGCTACACTGATTTACTGATCTCTGGAAATATTCAACAGAGACTGTGTATGTATGATGTATATTGTGTGTGTTTGTGTGATAGGGACTGTAGTCACTGATGTGTAAGTGTATGGAGACCAGCCATTGACATCAGGATAATCTTCCTCAACCACTTCTCCACTTTACTTTTTTTCAGACATGCTTTATAGTTGGCTTTACTTTGTTCTTGTTTTTGACTAGACTGGCTGGCCATGGAGCCTCTGAGAGATCTAGCTGTCTTTCCACACATACACCCCACTCCAGTGCCAGAGTTACAAAAATATACCAATGCAACATGGTTTTAAATGTCATGTATAAATCTGAACTAAGGTCTTCAAGCACTTTTACCTTTTCCCTATGCCTCAAGAGATTCTATTGTACATGCTTTATGACTGCAGCTACCTATACATATTTTGGAAGTTGCTTTGTGGATTAGTGTGTTGAGGCTATACTGCTTCTAAAAAAGACAAACTTGTAGCTCCAGAATTTGGAAGGTAGTGGCACAGGTTGAAGAAAATCTAGAGTTCCAGGCAAGGCTTGTCTATATAGAGAATTTGAGATCCTGTCCATATCCATGCAAAATAAATACTAAGATAATTATTCAAAGTATCAACTTTATGAAAATAATGAACTTTACCCTAGTTATTAATTTCTTTCATTGAATTATAAAACCTATAATTTTATCAATTCTTTGGTAGTTTTTTGTTGTTATTTTGGGTTTTGTTTTATTTTGTTTTTTGAGACAGTATTTTGGCTACCCTAAATAGCCCAGTCTGGCCTCAAACTAGTAGCCATCTTTATAGGCAGGTATGGACTCTTGGAAGATTTTTTTTTTTAACTCAAATTCTTAAGCTAAACAATGAATTGCTGCTCACTGGGTAGGTATAGCAGCACATACCTATAGTCCCAGCACCTGAGAGGCAAAGGCAGGGGGGTATCCCAGGAATTTGAAGACAGAAATATAATGCCCATCAAATATCCCCAAATGAAAATAGACAATTAATTTGACTTTTTTATTTGGGGGGAGGGAGAAGCAGGATCTCATGTAGCTCAGGCTGGCTTCAAATTCACTATGTAGCAGAGGATGACCCTGAACTACTAATCTTTCCTCCACTTCTCAAATGCTGGTATTATAGGAGTACTACTTGGACTCTTAAATTGAGACAATAAAGGCTAGTAATCATTTCTGTGAAAGATTCATTATTATAAACAAATCTCAGGATTAAAAGCTTTAAATGTATAAGTAAAAATAATGCTTGATTGCTCTAACTTTTCTCTCTTGGTCAACTCCTTATTTTGCTAATATTATTAATTCATTGACTTTTTTTTTAAAGCCTCTGCAATAGCTACTTATGGAACCTACAACACTCTCTAAAGTTTCTATTTCTGAATCTATCATTTATTGAAACTCAAATTCTTAACTACTTTCCCAAGAGAAGTCTTAAAAATAGGCAGGTGAACAAATTTCAAACTAATGAAAGGTTCTGACCTTGTCTTCATATAGGAGAACTGGGTCTCTTGCCCTCCTTTTCTTCCACCCTAACCCTGGGTCTCACAAAGCAAAGATACAATTGATGGGAGTATGTAAAAGAGTAATAATACATATACCAAAATCCTAACAATTTAAAAGGGGCTGAGAAACATCCTTTTACCCAGGATTCTGGATTGTGGATCAGCAGCATCACATTTATTTATGCCCTCAGTATTATGTGAGGCAGAAAGAGAAAAAAAATCTACATTGGTGAATCTGAGAAACACATTTTTAATAATTAACAAAGAATGTTATGAGCACACATATCCCCAATTTCTAAAATTTTAAAAATTTTAAACTGATTTAAAATTTGTGAAACACAAACCTTTATGGCAGAACTAGAAGTCTGTTCCCACCAGGCCCTCATACCTGATAGCAGCCAATCCAGCTCCTTCAAAACTCTGAAGAATTAACTATATCAAGAGTCATCATTTTTATGCATTTCACATGTAAACAGCAAATGCTACAGATTTTTGTTTTTAAAAAACATCAGATATTTAAATTAGTGTGCAGTTCCCTAGCTATCAAGCTTTTGGCCAGAAGGACATTGAGTAACTTGGTAATATATTCCCAATTTTTCTCTTTGATAGTTGTATCATCAAGGCTATCAATCTGAAAATTGTGACTCAATGATGTCACATACAATACATATTAATGTTCCTACAATTACTCTTATCTGTACCAGTATAAGATAAGGGAGTCTTTTCTATTAATAAGACATCAGAAAATAGAATAAACTAGGTTGGTTACTAATAAAGAAGATATGCAAATTAGAAGAGTACTAATTACTTGGATTAGAATACAGAAACTTTCTGTGAGAAGAAAACTTTCAAAGGTACCTTTTTATTCTCTTTATCATCCCCCCCTTTGGGTTTTTCCAGACAGGGTTTCTCTGTGGTTTTGGAGGCTGTTCTAGAACTAGCTCTTGTAGACCAGACTGGTCTTGAACTCACAGAGATCTGCCTGCCTCTGCCTCCTGAGTGCTGGGATTAAAGGCGTGTGCCACTACCGAATGGCTTTCTTTACCATTTTTATAATGCCAATAATTTCAAGAAAAAAAATTTAATGGGGTAGAGACGTATCTTGGTGGTAGAGCATCTGCCTGTCATGCATGAGGCCTTGATTTTAATACCCAGGTACACAAATATAAATACATATATGTATGTGTGTATGTATATAGAAAGATAGTTTCATGATATTTCCTTTAGTTGAATCTTTTATTTTCATATTTCAACTCATAGCTTTCAATCTAATTTACCTGGAAAGAATTTCTCAACTGTACAGGGTGAAACTTTTCATTAGTGACACCAAATCAAGAGCTTTAAAAATTTATACATAAGAAATTCTGAAACATGTAGTACTATTTAGAGGAAAGTATTGTTCTTTTTCTAAACTTAGCTAACTTTTTTCAGCTTTTAAAAGGAACTGGATCTACTGTAAACAGATGTTAAAAAGCACAAAAGAAACAGACTTGTAGTTCTATGCAGATTCAACATATCTATCCTTATAAAAACAATTTCAAGACACAAAAGAAATCAGTTAGTCAATTTCTACATGTGGATTTAAAGTGAAACAATATTTCTTTAAAATACTATTTTATTTTATGATTCATTCTTTAAAAACTAGATTTAAAGCTCTAAATTAAGAATATTCAGAGCCACTTTAGAATCTGGTAGATATGAGGTGAACCAGACCATCAATTTATCAAATTGATCAATAAAAAGCTCACTAATTCACAATTAAATCCACAGAAGCTGTTAGAAAATGTCTGGCCACACATGAACAGTGAGGAGGGCCAATGTTTCTTCATCATGTTTAAAGCTTTCCTGCCCTTAACCAAGAAGGCTTCATACTGCACTGTTTGGCTTAAGAAAGGTTAATGGTATATAGGTTAACGAATGTAAGAAATTAAACACCTGCTGCTAGAACACAGTAGCCAATACTGCCGTTTGAACTACAGCCTTCCCTTTTCATTTTTCCTTGTGAATTTTTGATGGACTTTAAATATCATTTTAAAAGATGACATGTATCACAAGGCAAGAAACCTCTATAGGACAATAAAACTTCAGAAAAGTAGACATGATGTATTCATTTTTCTAAAGCAAATATATTTAGCAACCTATAATCCCAACTTTTTAAAGTACTACAGTTGGGTAGGCTAATATGGAAATCATTCATACTAATTTGTTATTAATCAAGACTTTTTTCTTATTAGTGTATCTGTCATCTTTTATCCTAATTCAAAGTAAAAGTCTGAACCAATTTAATTGTAATTACAAAGTGTATGATTTGAGAGCTGAGTAAAAATAAACTTGACAAATTTCAAACATTTTTAATGCTTTTCACTGGTATAGGAGAATGTATTTACATAAAGATTATATTCAATTTTGCCATTATTTTCCATGAATTGAAAATAAATATCAGGCCACATGTATATTTAAGTTAGGGAAAAGGCTATAGTTATAGCCCTATAAACAGAAAAGAGACTTAAGAACTTGAGTCCTTTTTCAAATCATATAACATTTTTCCCTTTGGGCAAGTCCATAAAAATATTTGTTAAATAAAAGGTCAAATATAATTTTTTAGCCGTTGCCTGGTATTTAACTTTTTTATTTGCACTCAGCAAAGTCATTTTAAACTGGTTCCCATATATGAAGACAAGGTCCATTTTAGGAGACAGCATTTACACATGTACCAAATTTAAGATTTGTATGTATTTTAAAAAACAAATAAAAACCTACTGAAAACCTTTCAATTTAAAGGGTATAATCTTTAAAACTTTCTAAAACAAACCCTCAAATCATACTCTTTTTTAATATGAACTTTGCCAGTACTGTTCATGTTGGCCAGATAATACCCTAATTGTCTTTAATGAAGTAAAATGAAATGCATACCAGCAGCAACTACAGCTGGAGGAGGCGAGCCTGCCTCACCACCACTTGTCTGACTCATTGATGCTACAGAAGTTTCTCTAGGTGGAGGTAACTGTAACTCCTTTGGGAGAAGATCATAGACAGATTCTGTAGGGAGGAAAAAAAATTTTGAAGGAAGGTTAGTCAATAACCTAATTATATGAACATGAAATAAATATCTTCTCTTGAAAATTATATATTCACAAAAACAACTGTATTGTGAAGGTTGTGAACAGTTATTAGCAAGTATTTGTTCATTTAGTATATAATCTTATTAAAAATTGAAGAAAGAATTTTCTACTGGTTCTACTCGATTTTGATTTTTTACTTTTATCGTTTATTTGTTCAGGATAGTCTCCAGAAAAAAATATCTATTTTTAAAACTAACTAAAACTAAAATCATAATCCAAAAACTTATAAAGATATATAGATACAAACACATAAATTTAAATGGAAAGGCAAGGTGAAATCCACCTACAATCCTAACAGGAGCAGCCAAGGCAGGACCACAGGTTTGAGGCCATCCTGACTCATAAAGTTAGTTCCAGCTTGGGCTATATAGGAAGATTCTACCTCCAAAAGAAGTAAAACAATAACTATTCCTCAAAAAGTGTTTCTGAGGCATGCAGTGGTGGCACACACCTTTGATACCAACACTCAGGAGGTAGAGGTGGGCAGATCTCTGAGACAGAGGCCAGCTTGGTCTACAAGCGAGTTCCAGAACAGCCAGCGTTACACAGAGAAACCCTGTCTTGAAAAACAAAAAAGTTCCTATATACATGATGAAGAAATGTCAACTTCATAAAACAGATTAACTTTCTACCAACCACACTCAAGGATATAGGAAGGATATGGTCATTACATCAATAACTTGAGTATTTCTAAGTTGCAAATGATAGAGGTTTATCATTATTATTATTCATCACAGATAATGAAAAATTAGTGCAAACACATTCTGATCTCTTCTCTGGCTATTGGAGCAGGCTGTTTGGTTCACTTGGTGACTTAGTTGGAAGACCACCTTGCGATATATGCCCCAGTACTGCAACACTAAAGTCCACTAAAACGTTTCTCTCTAGCAGTCCTTTCTTGCTAGTAATGAGGGTTGAGTTGCTAACACAAGAAGCAGAGTCAATAAAAAACACAAATGGCAGTTTGCAGGCCAAGCTGAAAAGTGGCAAGATAGCTGGGGGAAAAAAAATCACACACACAAAAAAAACAGGGACCTGAAGAGTTCTCAAAGATGGCCAGGTTAGAACAAGACAGAGAGAGCAGACAAAGAGCAAGAGCAGAGGCTGAAGGAAAGAAGACTATAATATCCAAAAGAGACAACACTGGCTGTAGTTATTGGAAGAGTTCCAGAGACTTGTCAAGCCTTTGAAACTGAGGGTCTCAGATACCCAAGGTCTGGAGTTGTAAAACTGACAGCTGTCCATGGCTAAGGAATTTCCATGTCTAGACATACCCAGAACTCAGCTTCTGCAAAATGCTAAGGCTTTCTAATGTCCTAGGACTATAGAAGAAGCACTGTGGCTTACACTTTGAAGGCCAGGGATCCAAACAGGTCTGCACAGCAGCTGTAACACTAGAGGGCGCCAAATGCCACTGAACTGACTTGCCTGTGGCCACCTCACTGCTACCAAAAACACAGGGACACACAAAGCGCTTCTTACCTGCTTAAGGTTTTTATCAAGGTAAGACAAAGATCCATCCAGTCAGGTGAACAGTACAAGGGCACAAGAAAAGAAAATAAGCAGAACGGGGAGCAGATTCAAAACACTAAGAACTTGCTGTAAGGGCCCAGACCAATTGGAAAAGGAGAAGGAATGTAATCAGCATTTTTAGGTACTCAAATTAGTTTGCTTGGTCCTGTTCTACAAATTCTAATTGATCTATATATGTTACTGATTATTTCTGGGTCAATTCAGCTCTTTATTCTTCAATGCTGACTATGAAGGGGTTGAACTTTCAACACAGTGCACATCAAGGTCAAAACAGAAATCCTACCCTGAGGCATAAACAATAAGAGGAAGGAGAAATTGTGTTTTTGATGGTTTGTTTGTTTGTTTGTTGAGACATAGCCCTGGCTGTCCTGGAACTCACTGCATAGACCAGGCTGTCCTAGAACTCAAGAGATCCACTTACCTCTGCCTCCCAAGTACTAGGGTCAAAGGCATGCTCCACCACAGCTGGCTGGAACTGTGGTTTTTAAAAGTAAGTGTGTGTGTCTATGTGTGTGCGTGCCTAAGTGTATGTAGTTGTACCTTGTGTATACATACAAGAGCCTATCAAAGTGAGAATAAAGCACTGGATTCCCCGGAACTGTGGATACAGGTAAAGTTGTAAGCCACTTTGTAGGGACTAAGACCTGAACTAGTGCCCTTGCAAGAAGAATATCTGTACTTTTTTCTTTCCTAGGTGGGCATTCTGTGCCTTAAGTACCACTGTCTACAGTCTGTTATTAATCGTTTCAGAAATAAAAAACAAGTCTCCAAGCCCCATAATCCCTCTCTCACTTTATCTAGTTGAGTCTAGAAAGAAAAACCAAGAGAAACAGGTGGAAAGCAACCAATATTTTTCTTGCTGTACAACTAATATTAATTGTGCATTCTCAAGGGCCAGTCACTATGCAAAAGACACAGAGTCTCACTTACTCACAAAACAATTCTTATGACAGATTTTATTCATGAAAAATAGAAAAATACCAGAATTGTTAAGATAAAATTAGCTGGGTGGTGGTGGTGGTGGTGACAACGACAGCGGCACTAACCTCAAGCACCTGGGAAGCAGAAGCAGGTGGATCTAGGTGAGTTCCAGGCCAGTCTGACCTACAGAGCTAGTACCAGGAAAACCAGGGCTATTACACAAAGAAACTGTCTGGAAAAGTTAAAAAAAATTTTTTTAATGTGTGATGAAACAAAGGGAGAATGGTGATAAAATCTAGGACAGTAGTTTTTTCCTGTGATAAGAAACTTGGAAATAGGACAAAGGAACAAAAAAACAAACTGGATCCAACAGTGGACTCATACATGTTCTTTTTAGAGGATCATTACAGAATAAACACACACAATAAAGGTGGTATTCAAGTATAGGGCACAGTTCACAGAGGAGATGTAGTTTAAATAGAATGATCTGTTCCTAAGTTTTTGGATTAGTAGTCTCCACTTCACCTTTATTGACCTGAGAACAGGAATTCAATTGCTTTGGGGTTAGACTAAACACCAAAATTGTCAGAGTTCATTTCCTTTATAGTGTTTCTCAAGAAATCTCTAATTTACTTTCAGGTAATCAAGCTGAACACAAGTAGTATTGACTTATGCCTATAAAGAAATGTGGCGGCTTCTGTGTGGTGTTTCTTGGTCAGGAGAGCATGCACATGTGTACATGTGTACATGTGTACACACGCAAGTATTTTTGTTTAATTTTCAGGCAAGTAACTAAAAATAGTTATGGTAAAAAAGGGAGGGAAGCCGGGAGTTGATGGTGCACGCCTTTTAATCCCAGCACACGGGAGGCAGAGGCAGGAGGATTTCTGTGAGTTCGAGGCCAGCCTGGTCTATAGAGTGAGTTCCAGGACAGGCTCCAAAACAATACAGAAAAACAAAAAACAAACAAAAAAGGGATGGAAAACTCTGTGAGTTGAGTGTCTACATAGTGAGTTCAGACCTGTCTTAAAATAGGGTCTCTCTGCTGTGTAGCTCTGGCTATCCTAGAACTTGCCATGTAGACCAAGCTGGCCTTGAATTTATAGAGATCCATCTGCTTCTACTTCCAAAGTGCTGGGATTAAAGGTGTGCACTACCATGCTAGGCAAAAATGATACTTTATGTTGAAATGCTCTAAAAATACAATGATGAGCCAGCCAGGTGGTAGTACACATCTTTAATCCCAGCACTCAGGAGGCAGAGGCAGGCAGATCACTGTGAGTTTGAGGAAAGCCTGGTCTACAGAGTGAATTCCAGGACAGGCTCCAGAGCTACACAGAGAAAAAACAAACAAACAAACAAACAAACAACAATAACAACAAAAAGCCAGAGATGGTTCCAATGGTTAAGAGCACTGGCTGCTCCTACAGTGAACCAGGGTTCAATTCCCAGAATCCATATGCTAGTTCACAACAGACTATAACTCCAGTTCCAGGTATCCAATGTTCTCTTCTGGCTTCTTTGAGAACCAGGGACACATGTGATACATAGATATACATGCAGACAAAATAGCCATACACATGAAAAATTTTAAAAGGCATGAATTAATGACCCAAACAGGTACTATATTACACAAATAACAGAACTTCTCTTGATTATCAGGTATAGATACTATCTATAGCCATGCCACTTCCAATGCCCAATAATCAGGTATAGATACTACACTAAAAAATCCACTTGTAAACGCTTTCATTCAAAACAAAATATAAAAGCAAAACCAACAGACGACACCCTTATAAATGTGACTACCATAAGTTTCCTTAATGCACTCCCCTCCAAAAAAGGCTTGGGAAATATTGCCTTTCTCTTTCTCTCCTTCATTCATTGCCTCAATTAGCAGGTGAAATCCCAAGCTAAGATTTCACACCAGACACTCTACAATAAAGTTCTGACATGTCCACTATGCCAACCAAGTTCTGCATTTAAGACACAGCATTCTTTTTGTTTAAAAACATTTCAGCCTTGACAGTCATCATACTTGGCATCTCCGCTGGAAAAATGTACTGGCCACAGGTCCATTAGATATTTTGTTTCTAAAAGATTATAGAGTCCAAGAATAACTGGTAGGTGATCTGTTTCAACAAATTTTTCTCAGTTTTGAAGTAAACCAACTCAACTTATTTGTTAGAAAATATGTATTTATTCAAATTATTTTTCATATTGCATTGTTTTCCCCAAAAGTATTAGTGTTTTGAGGTATTTAAATAACATACACTGTATATTATATACCAACTAGAGGAAAAAGGAAACTAAAGAGTTCCACAGACATTATTCAGTTATTTAATTATCTGTTATTTTAGGAAAGGGGGTGTAGCTCAGTTGGTAGAGAATTGTCTAGTGTACACTCAATCCCCAGGGCAGCATAAACCTGTCCTGGTGACACACTCCTGTAATTCCAGCACT